CTATGAGTCGCAAATGACTCGATGGCACATAACAACAACAACAACAACATCATCTCACAACTCATCTGGTCTTCGATCATTAGTATTCAATGCCTTAAACCTATTCTTGAAGGGATTTTTAAATTCAGGTGGGATAGGTCCAAGGAGGTATTTTGTTTCTTGTGGACTTAATTTTCCACACTGAGCACCTGGACTAGTTTTGACTTCTAATATTGTGCTTTTCCAGTGATTCTTTCTACAAAAGTAGTAGTCTATCAGGTAAAACCATATAAATAGTAGTTGTCTGGTTTCTTAAATAAGGTCATTGTCCAGGTCTCTGATTCATAGCAAGTGATTTGCAAAGATCATAGCCTGTATCAGGTGCACCTTAGTCTCCAGACTGACACTGTTGCTCTTCAGTACTTTAGAAAGGTCTCTAACCGCAGACTTTCCCATCGCAATACATCTTCAAAGTCCTGTTACTTCAGAAGTGCACAGAGAGTCTGTATGATGCAGATGACACAACCTTGCTTGCAGAAAGGGAGGTGGGCCTGAGGCACTTATTGCAGAAGATCAAGTATTACAGCCTTCAATATGAATTACATCTCAACATCCAGAAAACAAAACTCCTTACCACTAGGTCAATAAGCAACATCATGATAGATGGAGAGAAGATTGAAATTGACAATGATTTCATATTGTTTGGATCCAAAATTAACACCCTTGGTACCAGCAGTCAGGAAATATACAGCATTGGGAAAGCTGGCTGTCAGGGACTTCTCCAAAGTACTACAGAGCAATGATGTCAGTTTAAAGACTAAGATGTACTACATTCAAGCCATAGTCTTTTCAGTCACATGCTATGCATCTGACAGCTGGACAATGTCTCAGGATGACATAAGAAGAATTGATGTCTCTAAGTATTAGTTCTGGAGAAGAGTACTGAATACCCTATGGATTGCTAAAAACAATAAACAAATATATCTTGGATAAAGTATACCCAGAATGCTCTTTGGAGGCAAGGAGAGTGAAACTTCATCTCACATACTTTGGGTATGTAGGGAGAGCCTATGTTTAGAAAAGGACATGCCAGCAAAAGAGAGGAAGACCTTTAACCACATGGATTGATATAGTGACTGTGGCAGTGGCCTCATATGTATCAGGAATATTCAAGATGGAGCAGGATAGGACAGACTGCAGACATGTTGTTCACATGTCCTGATTAGTTATATGCAACTTAATGGCACAAAACATGTGGGGCTGATTCAATTTACTGGATTTCGCTAATGATCAGCTGCAGGGGTGGGGAGGGGAGAGAAGCCTCTTGTTTAAGTCAATCAGGACCTCATGATCAGATCTTTGTATTTAAAAGATAGCTGGACCCTGACTAAGACTCCAGTTTGGAGGTTCATGTGTGAAGCAGTTGGATTCTGGAGGGCTCTCTTATTTTAGTTGAAAGTTCAGTGTAAATTGTTTTGTTGTTTTTTAATTTCTTTCATAATACTGTGTGAACTGATTTGATTTACTAGATTTAGCTCTTGTTTAAGTCAATCAGGACCTGGAGGGTGGGCCTTTGTATTGAAGTTATTTTGGGTCTCAGGCCTGTGGCCTTGCGCCTGGTGTTAACTGTGTTTAGGGAGAACATTCTTCTAAATGGTACAGCACTGGTCTGTCAGTTTGCTGTACTGCCCTAACCTGGGGTTGCTGTGCCACTAGTGTGTCAAATGCTGTAATGGTTACCTGAAGTGAAGAGATTTTGGTGGAGCTCCCAGATTAAGATAGGCTTGGAAGCAGGATTGGCATTCATTTCCTAAACAATAGCCTTTGGAAACTCTATGAACATTAGAGAGAAACAGTGATAGTTATAGAACAGGGTTTAGATCTTTTCTTCATAGGGTCGCTATGAGTTGCGCTCATACAACAACAACAATCATAATTGTCAAAACCAAGAAAGACATAGACAGACTGAGGAACACATTCCACATTAAAGAACTTAAATAATAAAATGCAAAGAATGATCCAAGAATTTTTCTTTGCTTCCAGGGACTTTATAGGAATAAGGAATGAAATCTAAGGGGATTGGATTAGCAGTTATCACTCTACATAATCTCAAGAATTCCTTATACCTTTAAAAATTATTTCTGTCTGATAAAAAGAAATGAGTTGGTATGACTCTTATCCAGTAGAGACTCAAAGTCCCTAGCTACCACTTTTACTCTGATTTTTTGTGTAAAGTTATCAAAGATGGCCTAACGTATTGAAATCTAACTTTGTTAACTATAGAACCTGGACTTTTAACAGTATATGACATACCATTTGTTTTGTTTTTTTCCAAAGGATCTGCATTCTCAGCTGATGAAGGAGGAGCATCTCCAACAATGCCAAGCTCTTGCTTGTCGCCAAGCTCTTGCTCGTCCTTCCGCTGCTCCTCATTCTGGAATTCAGCTGGAGCACTTTTTTTCAACTCTGAATGATCCTGTTACAAAGTTTAAGGGTGAGAAGTAATTTTAAGTGAAGTAGCAATTTAAGTCAGGAAACTGAAATTTTTTACATTTCTGTTCTCTCCTTCACCAAGTGATTGGAGAATATGAAATTTAGGAACAGCAGATATAAAGGACATGGGATAATCAAATGACTAATGGATTAGGTTAATCTAGAAAAGGAAAAGTTAGAGCCATGTCATAGAATGGTAACATCTGAATGAAAGGGTTAAAACAGAAGAATAAAACCTGAATTAAGCAAATGAGGGAAGCTCTAAATTGATCCTGGAAGGACACTGATCAAAAACTAAGGGCAGAATGATGAAAGCCACATGAAGCTAGAAAATGAAAACTTATGGCCATGTCATATAGTAGTAATATTTGAATGGAAGGATAAAATAGGAGAATAAAATTAGAGTGAACACAAAGCAAATGAGGGAAGCCCTTAGCTAATTCCTGAAGGATCCTATTGAAAAACTAAGTGCAGAGTGATCACAAGGACAGTGGTAAATTAGGAACGGGGACACACACACAATCCCATTCAATCTTGGTAATTCTTTACTTTTTGATTTATTGCACTTCATTTACCTGAACATTTACTGAACTAGTATTTATCAGGTGATTCCCAAGTGCTGGGCCCGTGGCAGTGAGGGACAATAGACACTAGACTTCAGTGCCCTCCTAGGGCCACCAGCACCAGAAGCTGTTTAAAGCCTCGGCCAAAGGTGTGCTTCACTCTTGGGGGCTGGAATGTGGAGATGGAAGTGGTCGCTCCAGTTAGTGAGGCTCACCACCACCATGGATGACACAGAATCAGAGGCTGCACACTCCAGGACTCACCCCAACAGACCAACTTCAGCTGGCAAACACAGTACATACAGTTTACTCAGAGTGCTGCCACTTTCTCTCTCTTGTTGAGTCGGAACTGACTCCTCTCTGAACTGCACATGGGAGAAGACAGCCCATCTCACTCCCAAGGAGCCGCTAAGTGGACTTAACCCCCCCCTCCCAGGAAACTGCCCTCTGGGTTAGCACAACTTGCTACAAACTATGTCAGCAGGACTCCCTGATGTTGCCACTAGAAACTGTTAAAAAGTTTTCTTTTAGTCTTCCTTTTTGTTGATCTGGGTGGTTGCTGTCGAAATGGGCAAGTTCATGAAACCAGGGAAGGTGGTGCTGGGTCCTGGCCAGACATTACTCTAGATGCAAAGCCATCATCGTCAAGAACATTGATGATGGCACCTCCAACTGGCCCTACAGCCACGCTCTGGTAGCTTGGATTGACCGCTATCCCTAAAAAGTGACAGCTGCCATGGGCAAGAAGAAAATTGCCAAAAGGTCAAAGATCAAGTCTTTGTGAAAGTTTATAACTACAATCACCTCATGCCCACAAGGTACTCCATGGATATGTCCTCGGACAAAACCGTTGTTAACAAGGATGTCTTCAGAGACCCTGCTCTTAAACACAAGGCAAGGCGGGAAGCCAAGGTCAGGTTTGAGGAGAGGTCCAAAACAGGCAAAAACAAGTGGTTCTTCCAGAAGCTGAGATTTTAAAGCTTCTATTTCAGTCATTAAAAAATACTCCCCCACCCAAAAAAAAGTTTTCTTTAAAAAAAGTACTAATTATTAGGTGTTCATCTCTAGGTTTTTAATGGGGGTAAAGCAGGAATGAGGGGCAGATGAGGAAAAACAGTACAAAAATAGGGGAAGAAGAACTAAATTGCTTTTATTTCCACACAAGCAACTTCAGAAATTCTTAGGCAGGAGTAGATGGATCACAAAATCACCTGCAGGGGAGCTGTGGTGGCCTAGTGGCCAGAAGCTGCACTGCAATCCCAGAGGTGCATGGTTCAAATCTACTAGAGAAGGAGGGACAATCTCCTCCAGTACCAGTCAGATCCAATTTGATGGTGCACAAACACAAAAATAATATAAATTAAAAAAAAAAAACCCAAACCAAAAAACTAACAAAACACCCAACATTTAAAAAAAAAAAATCACCTGCAAAATTCTGTGAGCTCAGGTGTTTTTTTTTGCTGAGATGAATAAGGTCATTGATTTAGATGAATAACTATGATGATAGTCATGAATATTTTGATAGTTAAGGAGACAGCAGTGCCTCTGAACATTTATATTAATACTAAATTTTCATTTAGGACTGACTACCTGTTTGAGTTGATAAATAAAGGGAAAAGGAAAGCACCAATATTTGCCCAAGTGGTCTCCTATTTTCTCCCAGACAATTCCTTTCACCTGGGCATCAGTGTTCCCTTTGACTGTCCTACGCCGTCTCCGACATTGGGTGGTTGAGTTGCCCCTGTTCTTCTCAGCTTGTTCCTCATCTTTAATCTGCGTCACGCTCTCATCACAGGAGGAGGCAGTAATTGGACTTTGATCCTGTAAAGAAAGACATTAATCTGTCCTATATCTTATGTTAATAATGTTTAGTAACTTAAACCTAAATTAAAAAACATACCACAAAAGTAAAAATAATTTTAAAACTCTAGCACTAAATCATAGGAAAGGACAAGAATTACAGAATATTTAAAAAGGAAACAATTATGTTCAAGAAGATGAGCTAAAAAACTGAGCATGTAAAGTTATTTTCGTGTGATTGACTAGGAAAATTATTAAAAGTACATTCATTTATTGAATATATATTATGTGCCAAATACTAAGCTATAAATGGGTAACAGAGCTAATAATTTGCCTTTACTGGGCCAAGTATATGAATTACTTCATTTACTCCTCAAAGTTTATGATGTAGGCACTAATATTAATATCAATGCCAAAAGAGAATAGCTCAAGGTCAAAATAAGGTCAAGGTAAAGGTAGAATGGGACTTAACTAATATAAAGGAAAAATAAAAGCTACAATAAAAGGTTCCAAAATATCCCAAATAGACCTGAATATGTAAGAAATTATTATATGATTATGCCTGCATGTCCTATTATTGGGCTTTGGGTTCATTATTTAACATGTGATGCTGCTGGAAAAATTAACTACATATTTAGTGAGTGATAGTGAAAATTGATTACTTTCACACACTAAAATGAAATCCAAATAGATTAAATATTTAAGTATGAAAAAAAGGTGAAGCCATAATAGCATTAAAAAAAAAAAAAAAGAGTAATATTTGTATTTTCCTAAGTGTAAAGAAAGCCTTCTCAAGCATCTTACTTAAAAACTAAATGAAAAGCTAGTTTTGTTTTTGGCAGGTTAATTTTTATTAGTTAAATTCTAAGTTTTGGAGACAAATGAACAAGTATCATTAAAAAAATACTAAAGTAGAGATTGCTATAAAACAAAAGAAAAACAATTGGTTCTCTGCTTCATTCTTCATATTTCTAAGTCTTTGTATCAGGTAGTTTACATACACATAACAAGTCATTTGTTGAGAGGATATTTATTCATACTTTCAGTGGATATATTTAGTGTCTCTCGTATGTTAAAATTTAGTTCATTTGTCTCACTCTCACCTCTCCATCTTCTTGCTAATAGAACTAAACCACTTACGCTGTTAACTTTAAATGTTTTAAACGTTTAAGTCTTATTCCAAAATGAGGGTACTAAATGAGGATATGGGCTGACAAAAGAACAAATAAGTTTTGGCTCAGAAGAAGCAGCCAGTGTGCTCCTTAGAAGCAAAAATTGTAAGACTTCATCTCACATACTTTGGACATGCTATCAAGAAGAGCCAGCCTTCGGAAAAGGACATTATTCTTGGAAAGGATTGGAGGTAGGGTGTCAGTGAAAGAGGAAGATCCTCAATGAGATGGACTGATACAGTAACAAAAGGTAAGCACAGTGGATAGATACTATGGGGATGCACAGGATGGGGCAGGGTTTCAAGGTATTTTACATAGTGTCACTTTGAGTAGACTTGACAGCACCTAAAAACCACCACCACCATTCTTTATTTTAAACATGTATTTTCCTTCACTTCTTCTCTTTCTTTTACTGCTCAACACCTGTTATCTAACCCCTTAAAATATCAAAGCTGAGGGAGCTCTGGTGGCCCAGTGGCAAGAAGCTGCACTGCAATGCCAGAGGTACGTGGTCCAAATCCACCAGAAGCTCTGATGGAGGAGGGGCAATCTCCTCCTGTGCCAATCAGATCTAATTTGACAGTATACACACAAAAAATAATAAAATAAAAAATTAAAATCAAAGCTGGTGTCACTTATAGTCTGTCATGTATCCTAAATAGAATCATCTGACTTCTCTAGTTGATTTTAAAAACTGGTAAATTTTTTTTCTGATGTTATCAGATATTCATTTTTATATATTCAATGTTAATATTTATAAACATTACTAATAAAAGGAAGTAATAACGAAAAGTGGGTTATATAAGAGGAATCAATCTTAAGAATAAAAGAGAAAAAGTAGTTATCATCATCATCGTTGTTGTTGTTAGGTTCCATTGATTCAATCTTCTGACCTAAGCAACCCTATGTATAACAAAGTAAAACATTACTCAGGCCCATGTCATACTCATAATTTTGCTGTTTGAAAAAACTGATAAATTAAGTTGTTATTATAACTATGTATGTGCAAGTGTGTGAGCACACACACACATTTATCAAGCAAGACAGAATGTGTTTGTTTACTATGAAACAATGATATATTTAAATTATGTTTCCTTTTTTCCAAGATTAATTTTTTCTATAGTTTATAATTGCCTTTCCTTTTCCTTATTGTTCGGCTCAATCTTCTGAGAAACAGATTCCAAAACTGATTAACCTTGCTGCAAGAAATTTATTGGAAGAATTTCTTGTGAGGATAAAGGGGTAGAGAATAGTTGGTGGTGGTGAGACTTCTTTAGACCACTTTGCAGGCTCACACCCATGATGAGAGAAGGAAAGATGGACTGGGTAGAAAGGGCCTCAGACTGCAGTATAATTCTGAAATAGCTATGGCCAGATAAAAAATGGAACCTCTAATCAAAAGTCGTCCATTAAGATATATGTACTAGGTAGGAATGGAATAGCACAGCTGCTGTCTCATACTGAGTTAAGTCATTGGCTGGAACAGCATAAACATTAACTTCTCCTCTGCCAGTTTTGATTATTAATCTGTTCCTATGATACTCAATTCAATTCAGTACAGATTACAGCTCAACAACCTGAAAATAGATTCTCACCATGGGGCCTATGGATACTTTCATGATGGACAGAGAAGAGATTGAGATGGTTAATAACTTCAGCTTGTTTGGTTCCACAAAAACATCTTTGGCACCAGCAGTCAAGAAATCAAAAGGTGAATTGCATTGGGAAAGTTGCTGTTAGGAATCTCTCTAGAGTACTGAAGAGCAATAATATCAGTCTGGAGACTAAGGAATGTCTGATCCAGGTCATGGTCTTCCCAATTACTTTCTATGCATCAAAGAGCTGGACAATAACTAAGGATGATAGAAGAAGGTTCAATGCCTTTGAGCTGTTGTGCTGGAGATGAGTGTAGAACATACTGTGGACTGCCAAGAGAACAAACAGGTCTGTCCTGGAGAGGGAGAAGCCGATTTGCTCCCTGGAGGCAAGGATTTTCAGGCTCCATCTCATATATTTTGGGTACATGGCCAGGAAAGACACATTATGCTTAGAAGGGTAGATGGACAGCAAAGGAGAGAAAGACCCCAGATGAGATGGATTGACTCAGTGATTCAAGCAATGGGATTAGGTCTATTGGAGATGATGAGATTGGCTCAGGATAGGGAAGCTTTCAGAGCTAATGTACATAAGGTCACTACGAGTCACAGGTGACTTGATGGCACATAATAACAATATGATATTGAATTTGTTGCAAGATGTTGTTATGCTATCAGATACTAAGTGACCTCTGTGATATTGCCTTTGCTGTAAGATGTTGTTATGTACCATCAAGTCAGAAAAGACTCATCACTGACCTTACAGAGGGTTTTCAGAGGAAGTAAATCATAAAGGAGATTTCCCATCTTTCTCTTGTGGAGCAGTTGGTGGAGTCAAATCATGTATCTTGGGTTAGCAGAGTAATTTCTTACCATTAGGCCCCTAGAGCTCCCTTTGCTATAATTTGGTCCTGCAATTATGAAATCAAATGGAAATTTTTATTTTAGATAGGATTATAATTTAATCATGTATCTATAATCACTTAAGCAAAAAATATGGATAGTATTCCCACTATTCACAATAGCACTACCTCCAGTGGCCAAAAGGTAGAAATAATCGGAATTATTTAGTCCATCAACAGAAAATTAAAGACAAAATGTAATACACCCAAACACTGAAATAGTACACTGGCATAAAGAGAAATGAAGCTCTGATACACTATAACATGGATGGACCTTAAGAACCTATACTGAATGCAGTTAAGTCAGACATGTAGGTGAATAACTACTATACTTATGACCATATAGGTTTTATAGAAAATATGTTTACATATGTATCTGTATATGTTGCAAATAGATCCATGTAAATAGTAGATCAAACAGGCAAAACTATGAACGGTACTTAGCTATAAAACAGTTTCAACAAATGAGCTCCAGGACCTGGGCTTGAGGACCATAGTCTCAGGGGATATCAAGGTCAATTTGTTAAACCTAGTTGTCAGAACAGAGCAAGCAAAATTGGGAAGGGTGTGCACCAAGGGTGTGTCCTATCTCCATGTATTTTCAATCTATATGCAGAACAGATTGTCCAGGAGGCTGGGCTCTATGAGGATTGGAAGTAGACTCATCAATAATCCATGTTATGCAGTTGATACAACCCTGCTTGCTGAAACTGAGAAGGACCTGAAGCACTTGCTGCAAAAGGTCAAGGACTGCAGCCTTCAATATGGATTGAGGATCCATATCAAGAAAACAAAGATACTTACCACTTGGCCGATTGGCAACATCTTGATGGATGATGAAGAGATTGAGATTGTTAACAACTTCAGTTTGTTTGGCTCTATAATCAGTACTCTTGGTACCAACAGCCAGGAAATAAAAAAAATAAATTGCATTGGGAAAGTCAGTTGTCAGAGACCTCTCCAAAGTACTGAAGAGCATTGGTGTCACTCTAGAGACCAAGATACAAGCCATGGTCTTTGCAATTACTTGCTATACATCAGAAAGCTGGACAATGAATAGGAATGATAGGAGAATTGATGTCTTTGAGCTGTGGTGCTAGAGAAGTGTACTGAATATACCCTGGACTACTAGGAGAACAAAGAAGTTCACCCTGGAGAGGATAAAGCCAGACTGCTCCTTGGAGGCAAGGATTTTGAAGCTTCGTCTGACATACTTTGGACATGTTGCAAGGCAGGATCAGTCCTCAGAGAGGGATGTCATGCTTAGGAAGGTGGAGGGACAGCACAGAAGAGGAAGACCCTCTATGAGGTGGATTGATTCAATGACTGGGGTAGTAGGGATAAGAGTGTCC